ACAGATCGCCCGCTGCGACTTCGATTCAATCCGACGTGCTATCGTCGGTCGTTAGTTAGATAAAGGTGAGGGGGTAGGGCGGAAGGAGATGGCAATTAGATAAACACAAAAGGTTATCAACTGCGGGGTGTACCGCAGAATGGAACATTGCATCAAGATCGGTCGAAACGGATTCCACTGCGATCGAGTGAAACTTGGCATTTCGAGGATTTCGACTGCTCGTAAAACTGTTACCGATAGGATCCAGGTTTCGGTATTGCGGAAATGCCACGTGCGGAAGCCTGCATTCTTCGTTTAATGCAGTTTTGTAAAAGCGTCGATTGAATCATCGAATTTTCTAATAACTGATGTTTGCGAATTGGCCGTTTTATGCGGCATCGTTTGCAAGTACTCATACAAAAAGTTCACGATGCATAAAAGAGGCAGCGAACGAAGACGATGCTTCTTCGACGACGATAAGAAATGGAATCCACTCGCTACGTCTTCCTCGACGACAGCATCTTCCGACAAGGACGTCGTCCGAGCGCTATTCCCACAGTGAACGTAGGCGAGATCACTCGAAAAGAAGTTTCCTTCACTCGCAGCGACTATCGAGAAAGTAGTCATCAGGATGAGCATGTACGAGCGGCCTTACATGCGTAAGGACCTGGATCCCTCTCTCTCTCTCTCTCTCTCTCTTCGCCCCTCATCCTTCTTCTCTTAACCGGCTACTTCTCACGCATTGGAAACGACCTTTCGCGTTCATGGAATCTCGCGCGACTCTCAGCTCTCCCGCGTGCGAACGTTAGCCAGCACGCGAGCAAGCTCACTCGCTCCGGGCGAGAAAAAGGGACGTCGAAGGGGGAAGAGGGGATGGCGCGGGGAGAGGCGAGAGAGCATTCGACGAGCAAGAAGAGGCGGCCTCCTTATTGGAAGGCGTACCTAACTAGGAGAGTGCCCGGTACGGGCACGAACCGCGGATGCTATTATTCCTGACGCGCGCGGCTCAGGCACGATGAAAAATACGGCCGGGGCTCCCTCGCTCTCGGCCGTGACTCTCCACGATGCACGGCGGAGCCGTTGCTTATCGATGCCCCGGGTCGATACGAGGCGGCGGAGAGCGCGCGGTAACAACGTACGCGCGCGTCGCGCACGGCGAATCGGGTTTTAAATTAAAAACTCGCTCGCTGATTCCGCTCGTTTCGCCTCGGATCCGGCTGAAACTCGTGGCTGTAGCCGTGCACGAGGCAAAAGAGACACGAGAGAAAAACTGACATTTTCCTACGAGAACGAAAAACTATCGCGAGATATTACGTCGCGAGAGAAGACTTTCGCGCTCTACGTGATTTTTTTTTTTTTCCTTAATTGCACGTTGCATCGATGTCGAATTATGCGTTTAATTGGCATTCAAAAGTTTGTCGCGTAATTATTCGTTTCTTCCTCGAATTTTCGTGATTTTAAATAAAAATTGTATGGGAAAGGAAGATTCTGTATCTCTCTCTCTGTATCTCTCTCTCTGTATCTCTCTTCTGTATCTCTCTCTCTTTCAGGATTTTCAGTACGACTATTTTTGTATGTGCTAAATTCCTATTTTTTTTTGTATCCTGCATACATATATAGATCTCTCTTCTAGCGACAAATATCGAGACGTCTCTTTGTGACATGACACTATCAAGGTTCGTTAATCGTTTGTTTCATTTCATCAAATTAAGAAGTAGGATTTAAAATACCGAGAGCGCGATGATACAAAGAATCAACGACCGCGTTGTCAGAGAGTATCTGCTCATTTTGCGGTTCCCCTATAAATATTATGATGCAAATATAAAAGCACTTAATTAAACGATTTAATTATCTCTCTATTTTTCGAAAGGGCAGGAGAGAACCGATATTTCGCGCGCGGCTTCATTACATTACACGAAGCACCTACCATGAACGCGCCGTTAATCGTCCTCGCGCGTCGCGACGCGCGTTGTCTCTCCCTCCTCCTCCCTCACCCTTCAGCGCAATCAAAAAGTACGCCGGTCGAAATAATGACCGTTTCATTCGAAACTCTGCGATTTTAGTTGGCGCACGTTGGGATATCGGAGGGTCGCTCGACCGACCCGTCGCTCTCGCACGCACGCACGCACGCACGCACGCACGAACGAACGAACGAACGAACGCACGCACGCACGCACGAACGCACGCATGCACGCTTTGCACGCTCGTTCATCCATACATTTGCGAGCAACGCGCGCTCGCGATACGCACGCTCTCACGTACGGTCTCATTCGCACGCACGCTTCGGCGAACGCGTGTGGGTAACGCGCGCTTCGTGGCGCGCGTGCCGACAACAGCGAGGCCGTCTCGCTCTCTCACGGCTTTCCCTCGCACGCCTCGTCGCCACCCGCGCGCGTCTCTCGCTACGCTCGCCGCGTCCCCCCGTGCCCCGTTCCCCACCGGAGCGGCCACCGCCCCGAGGGCTCATCGCTTCGACGAGCCGAGCGGCGGCACGGTTTGAGCTCCCACCGTCACGCCGCTTCTCCCGTTCTCCCTCCTTGTTCCCCTTTCGCCTGCCTACCGACCACGGCCCGTCGCCTCGGCGTTTTTCGCTCCTCTTCCTCCGCTTCACCTCCTACTCTTGCGGTCGTTTCGTCGCACACGACGTGCCGCCGCCGCCGCCGTCGTTGCCGCCGTCGTCGCCGCCGACTTTTCGCGCGCGTTGCGAGACGGGGAGATTAAAGGCCGACGCGCGCGCGAAACCCGACGATCCTTATCGCGTGCCACGCCGCGCCGCGCAATGCGTAGAAACGAGCGCAGCTCGTCTTCTTTCTCATGACCTGGTGGCGTTTTCAACATGAATCGCACGCGACTTACCATTCGCGTTTGATGCATAGATCGATATCGACGATCCGCTAAATGTCAGCGACGCAGTCGGCAGATAATCTCTCAGCAAACAAAAAAAAAACGTGAATGTTGAAGTAAATATTTACTTGCACTTTTGCGCAACGCATTATTTTGAAAAATTGTAAAAAAATGGATCACTTAGTTATTTATTCAGTTTCAAGATCTGAGACTTTTAAATAGGAGTAATTTTAAGTTTCTTTGTTTCTCTATTCTAAAATTTCGCTATGATTATTTTTATATATATTAAACTTTATTCTTTGTCATTATATATTTTTTACAATTAAAATATAAACATGTATCGGAACTTTTTTGTCAGATAACACGATCAACCTCGTATATCCCGCGTGTTTCGCGTAGACAATCGAAACGGGAGGTACAGCGGCTATCTTTCGCGCGATGTCCATCTCCGTGAGCATAATAACGCATTTAGCCGGCGTTCACCACGGCGCGACGGATTTTAATTCTCATTTACCCCGAAACCGGAGGGACGCGGCCGAAGCAAGCATCGATTAAAAAAGGAAAAAGAAAAGAGGAGCGACAGAAAGAGAGCGCGCAAAGGATGGAGATGGAGGGAGTCGAGAAAAAGATCCACTGATATCCAAATCGGTTCCTGCTTCGACGCCGCTTCACGGTGGCTAGGCAATAAAACGGCCCTGAGAGAGACGGAGGCACGACGTGGCGCGCGACGAGGACGCGGCCCCAAGCGGAGCGAGCGAGCGTGCGTGTGTGAGAGTAGAGGATGGGAATAGGAGACGACCGCACGTAGCCGCAGGCAAGGGCGCGCGTGAGCAGGCAAGCGAGCCTTCCGACCGATTCTCCGCCGCCGCTACGCCGCGCCGCGGCCACGCTATGCCGAGCCGAACCTCGCCTCGCTTTACCTCGCTTCGCCTCGCCTCGCCTAGCCTCACCTCACCTCACCTCATCTCACCTCACCTCACCTCACCTCACCTCACCTCACCTCACCTCACCTCACCTCACCTCACCTCACCTCACCTCACCTCGTCTCGTCTCGCCCCGCCTCGTCTCGCCTCGCCTCGCCTCGCCTCGCCTTGCCGCGCCGCGCCGCGCCGCGCCTCGCCTCGCCACGTCTCGCCTCGGCTCGCTTTGCCTCGCCTTGCCGCGCCGTGCTGCGCCGCGCCGTGCCGCGCCACGCCGAGCGGCGAGCCATCCGTGTGCTCCAGTATCCCCCGCCCCACGTACGACCAACCACGACGCGAACCCCACTGTCGCTCCCCCTTCCCGTAGCCGACGCGCGGCCTCGGCGCGCCAAGTTCGCCGCGCGTACAGCCGCCAGCTACCGCTCACCGCCTCACAGTCCGTCACCGTCGCTCGTCGCGCGAGCACACGCGGACGTCTCTACAGTCAAGCTGCACGCTGGCGCTGGCGTGTGTTTTCGTCGCATCGTTAACACAGTGACGGATCGAGATCAGCCTCTCGTTATTGCGACATAGCATGCACGAGGGTGGACCTCCACGTTGCATTCAGATTCAACGCTCATGAGAAAAAAAAAATCGCGATTTGAGAAATCGACGCAGAAAAATATTCGGTACATGCGTACTGCAGAAAACACGTTTTTTCAGAGGAAAGATCAAACGATCGCGACTCAATCGCGATCTTGATCTGTCAGAGGTCGCCGTTCTGCGCGCGCCAGCAGAGATTCAGTGAAAACGGGACGTTGAACGTTATTCGTCAACCACGCGAGGACTTGTGAATGAGTGCGTTTCGATCGTTCTATTGACTACTCAGTCCCGATCTCGTGAAACGATCGAAGAGAATCCCGACGAGGATTGGCCAGGTGCGCGGACGGACCTTTCGCCTCGCGAGTGACAAGTGGTCGGCGACGCGTGGTTAACCACGTGGCGCGGTGTATGCGCCGGTGTACAACCGCCTGGATGGCGTGAACTTTTGCGGGACTCTCTTTCCCTATCGGCGGGCGCGTGTGTGCCGGACAATCGCGGGTGCGCACGGACAGGTGACAGGTGAATCAGTTGTCGGTCCGATTGATCCCGCGTCGCGAACTGACGGACGCTTTTGACGTTCATTCGTAGAGAGAGAGAGAGAGAGAGAGAGAGAGAGACAGAGACAGAGACAGTTGTCAGTCGTACCTTTGTCCATTCCGTTCCCTCTCGGAGGGGCGCATGGTGCAACAGTGATTAGTACGCCGTATATCATCGCCGGTGACAAGCAGCAGTCGCAAGGGTTAACGAGGGGGTCCGGTGGTGGTAGTCTGGTCTCGCCGTCGCAGGCCGCCGCGAGATGCTGAGAGCCTCACTCGTCCAGTCCAGCGAATCACGTAGGGTGCTGCGATTTGTGCCGAGGGCCGTCGCGGCCTGCTAAGATGACCGCGCGTCTACACTCGCTGAGGCACCAGGAGAAGAAATCAGCCGGCAACAGTCACAGGCAGCACCATCAGCATCAGCAGGCCGTGCATCAGGGTCCGAGCCCGGCACCGAGCCCCAGCCCCAGCCTCAGCCCGAGCCCGAAACATTCGGACGGACGAAGAGTGAGTATAAGCAGCGTCTACGTAAAACTTTTTTAAAACGCGCCAGAAACTTTTGAAAACTATTTATATTACGTTCTGGAAACTGAGATATAATTTTTCCGAGAGTTTAAAAAAGAGATTATCGTTGGCTTATGTATTTTTGGATCTCGGTTTTTGAATTTATCAATCGGGGGGAAACGTACGGAACGGGATGTATGAGGAGTAAAAATTTAGAATGAAAACTGCAGCGCAAGCGCGAACGTAGAGGTAATTTCATTGCGGATTTTAAAAATAAAGGAAAGAAGAGAAAGGTAACGAGGACGCGACATTCTCAACCCCCTTGCAACGCAACGCACGCGACCATGCGTCCCGGAGTAGTTTCACCCTACCTCCCAATCTGCCTCCTGCGCACTTAATCTGCGATCGCAGGTTCATTGGTGCGACGCGAACCCGATATCGAACACGTGCGTCGTTTATACAACCATTCGTCGTCCACAATCTCTGACGTGAGAATCCGCTGATCTGTCAGTCTTGGCATACGAAAAGCGCGGCTTCTCGCGTTTCATAAATGAGAATTGCATATTCGGGAAAAAGTTCGAGAAATGATTTTAGAAGAAACCTGGAATTGACTTTTTCTTAGGACGTGGTAATTCACGTTCCCTTTCGTGATACACTTTTCTCCTTTAAATTTCATTTATGCAAATGCGTATTTTTGTCGAGTAACAAAGTCTCATTTTTTTTATCCACGTTCTAAAAACTTAAATTTCACATAAGATGAATATACTTAATGCAAAATTTTTTTAATACGATGAAATCATTAAAATTAATCATAAATCATCGAATTACGTTTTCAAAGACGTTTTTCTGAAGAAAGGGAGAGATAACGTTACGATCTCAGAGGGACTCGCGAGTTGCGCGACGCTCAGCATGACTCTGGAAAAAGTTGGCGATTAAAAACTTGCGGTAAAAAGGAGCGCGAGCACGGCGCGTTACTTCTGACCCTCTAGCCTCTCTTTAATCTCTGCGAAGTGGGTCAGTTTCGCAACGCGGCGGATTTCGAAGGTTCAACCTTCGCTCGTTTCCGGATCGCAAAAAAAAATCGCCGAAGCGGCGATAGATACGCGCCGGGCGGGGCATAAAACGGATATCGCTCTCCACGTGGACGCGCCGTTAAAATCGCAGCGAAAAGCGGTACAGGCGCGAACCGTTGAGCCATTAAACGGCGAGATACGCGTGCGAGAGAGGCGGATGTTGTGTGTGCGAGATTAAAATGTATAGCCGAAAAAAAAAAAAAATAATAAAATTCGATACGTCAGAACAGATCGCATTAATAGCGTGATTCCGCGGCTAGAATCCAACGTCTCTTTTCGCGCTTTCGAGATGACGGAATCCAAAGGAAAAATTGGCACGATCGTTCCATCAGTTCTCCCCGAATTCTCAGATGACGAAACGGTGACTACGCCGACTGAAACACGTGACAAATGCATTTCCTTATTTCTCTTTGTCGTGCGGCAAAACGCAGGAGGTCGCAAGGGCACGTCGCGGCACGAACGATGCGTGTCGGAGCCTTGTGACGCCAATTTGCGGTAATTGGACGTATTTACGAGCGGTTATCATACAGATCGTCCGTACGCCCCCGCCCGCCGTGGCCGGCGTCGTTCAAAAAGCTGTAATTCGGTTTATCCAATTAATCCTCCGGCGTTCGGCCATCACGAACGTCGTCGGGGGGAGATCACGCGTGATCCAAAGACCACGGGTGTATTTATCGCCCGGAATTGTCCATCTGCAACAACTTATCGTATAACACGTATAACACGTATAACACGTTCACATTCGGATAAACCCTCGGCTCCTTTGAGCTCCGCGCGAGCACATTAAGAAGAAAAATATATTCGCCAACAGGTGAATTCTCGATTAAAATAGCATTAACGAAGGAGTTAACGGCCGAGTTTGGCGAGTTTCGCGCGACGTGCAGAGGAGGCCGAAACTCGTTCCGCGCAAAATTCCGAATGCCGAGGGACGCGCGCGTGAGCCCGCGGTGCACGCGTGCGTCGAATGCAGGCTGACTGCCCTTTTAAGGTGATCCACATTGCGTGTGAGAGTTAGATCGCCGCTCGGCCGAGCGCCGAGTGGCGATCTCCTATTAGGAAAGTTTCCCGCGGTGACGAAAGGGCGCAACTTTGTGCACCCGTCTTTATTAGCGGCGAGAGACACGCGAATGGGGGGGGGAGGGGAGGAGTACGTAACAGCGCGGGAATTTTACGTGAGAAATTTTTAATTTTCAGGATTTTTAATTTTCTAAAGTTTTTAAGTAGAAAATAAAGAAAAGATGAGGTGTGTACATATTAATAAATTAATAATCGGCATATGATGGCGTCAAACAGAGTTTTTAAGAATATCCGCTGCTAGTTATTACATTACGTATTAATATATATGTATGTGATATGTAATTTACTTTTTTCGATATTTTAAATTCAGGTGAAATATTTCTTTGAAATATCTATAACACGAAAAACGATTTTCCTTGTGGCTAATCAGCTGATTATTTTGTGACCAAATCATCGAAACGACCAAACTTTCCTTGGTCTTTCGACTACCAAATATATTTGGCGTTTTCATTAACAAGTCATTTGGTCTTACGCGCGCTTTCAATTCGTTATATTCACGAACACAACATAAATAAATAATTATAAAAATCATAAGATTTGAATATTAATCTTTTTATTATGTCGCGTCTTGCTTTTTCGTTATATTTTCTTCTTCGTATTAGACGCAACTTTCCCTCGCTCACTCGTGCGGCAACTCCGATTGAAAAAAGTGAAATAACTCGCGAATATTGACAAATGAAAGAACAAAAGCTCTCACTAATTTAAATTTCGTAATCGAACGAATATACTTTAAAGATATTAGGTGGGACTTTCAGGTGAAGAGCGATGTCCAAAGGTTGAATGAACAATATGATATTTACATAAATATGTGAAAATTTATCATATTTAATCAGAAGCTTCCTTCCCCTTTTCTCGCGATAAGAAATTCGTAAATTTCATCGCGTCGGATTATCGTTGCCACGAGATCGAAACGATGGTTGAGGGAATTCCAAAAGGGTGCTGTTGGAATAAATGAGGATGATGAAGCCTCGCGGGATTTCGAAACAGGAAGTGGAGGAGGAGATAATAGAGGAAGGAGAAAAAGAACGAAAAAGGAAGGAGATGCGGTGGACGCGACGATCGTTTCTGTCGTCGCCGGGCGATGGCTTAATTGACGGCACTTAACGGATCGTCGTTATGCCCGGCTTAATTACCTGTCGCTCGTTGACGCTAGTTCGCGCATTTTAATCGATTTATCATACGCGAAGCGAAGGCGACGACGCGAAAGACCAAAGATGACAATACAACGGACATGTGTTCGCGCCTCCAGAATCAATTGGAAGCGACTCGATTTACCAAATTTTCTTGGAAATTAATCATGCCTTTCACAAATTAATATGCCGAAATGCAAATTAAATGATAATCTCAATAAAGTATGCAAATTTCTACAAATAAAAAGAAAATAAAAACTGAAAGAATCATTTTTTTACGCATATCGTCAAGTGCCAGCTTGAAATTTTTCAAGTGTCGCGATATGGCACGCGGTTTTTCTTAAAAGTGATGCTCAAGAATTGTCCATCTTTCATATGTTACTCCGTATTTTTTACGGGTCGTACAGCCTTCGTCTCGATATACACAATATACTGAAAAAAATGACCGTGATCGGCCATGATTAGCGATGACTGTTGTTAAAACAGTCTGGCTGGAAAAAAAATTCCGGCGGTTCGCGAGGTTCGCACGTCGATGCTGATTCACAATGCCGTCGGCTGTACGTGACGCGAAGTCGCAAACAACGAGAATGTGATTTATCGCGCGTAACGCGCTAATCGGCGGCACCGTCAAAGTCACGCCGTCACGCCGCTCGAAGCTGTCCCCTTTATCTCCCTTCTCTTTTCCGGACGCGCGCGCGCGCGCGCGAGCGCGGCTGTCTTTCCAAGTCACGCCAGCCTGAAAGAGCGTCACGACGGTCGTGGAATTATCTTGGCGGGGATAATTTTTCGGTAATTATCGGAGGTACGGTAGAATTGAAGTTTCATGGAAGTATCGGCAATAAACGAAATAATTAACGAAACTTTCGTTGCTCTATAAAAATTGTGAAATGGAATAGAAAAGGTGAAACTTGATACTATAGTTCAGTATAGTTCGAATTTCTTTTGAAGCGGTTAAAATATTTCGCTATTTTGTTATTAGCAAAGGAATTTCTCGCGAAAGAAATTCGAAAAGCTTTTCGAGCGCCGACGATAGTCATTTCTTGGATCCTCCTATCGAACGTCGTTTTCGTTCGACGAGCGGAAAGCTCGAAGCAAGGAGGAAAAAATAAAGGAAAAAGAACAAATGATCCACGATTAACCCAGTTTCAACATTCGAAACGCCGAGGCGTAATTTAAACGCCCCTATTACGAAATTCCTCTCCCGCTCCTGCGCCCGCACGCACGCACGCGGGGACACGCACGCATGTATGTACACATGAATACTACACGGGGGCACGTAGAAGAGCGAACAGAGAGTCCATCGTCGACGAGACGCGCGCTCACCCTCCCTTCGCCGCGTCCCCCGCCGTCCTTCGTGCGCGCCTCTCGTAATAATAGAAGGATGCGACGGAGCAAGAGTGCCGCGCCGGTCGGCGGCGATGCGATGACACGCGCGTGCACACGCACACACGCGTTTATAGTATAGTGACATGTACATCACATGCACATACACGAATACGTACGACCGCGCGGCGGCTCGCTCGTTTGTTTACCCGTCGCGGCGCTCCCGTGTGAACGCACGCCGACTTCTCGCCTCGTCTTTCTCCCCGACTTTACCCTCCCCCCTCCCCCTCTTTCCCCCAATCTCTACCTCGCTTGCTCTCTTCGTCATCTCGACGTATCTGCCCGGTGCCCTGCTCGCTCCGCACGTGTCCTCGCCTGTTTCCTTCTCGCCGATCGTCGCCACCTCTGTCACTCTCGTCTGCGATACCCGCAATCCTCCCCTTCCCCTCTCTCGTTAGAGCCGACTTTGCCCGTCTTCGTCGTTCCGCACGTCGCTGTCATTTCTGCTCGTGCGGTCTCCGTCGCTCTCGCCCGTTCGTGTTTATCGCTGTTCCTCTCCTCTGTCTTTCTGCGGTTCTTCTTCTGTTAGTTCGCTACCTCCATCTCTCACTGGGATATCCGCCGTCTCCTTTTCATCTCGCTCTCGCCATTTCTCTCTCTCTCTCTCTCTCTCTCTCTCGCGCTCTTCATCCCGGCCTTCTCTCGCTCCGCGCCGTGAATATCTGTCGTCTCTCGCCTCGACGACGGACGTGCCTTCGGCCTCGCCATTTCGCACGCTATTCTCTCTCCACGTGGAACGTCGGGCGTCGCTTTTTGTATCTCTCCGCCGACGAGAGATCCTCCTCTTTCTCTTCCAGACACCGCATCGCGCGACTCTGTTATCATCTCTCTTCCACCTTCCTCCGTCTCGATAGATTAGCGATTAACGCATCCGGCAAAGCGAACATCTATCCGCGCTAGAAGAATAAATTTGATATCCGCGTGAGCTTCCGAGACATCTAGCGCCCGTTCATCTTCGCCCTCGTTATCCATTTCAGTCTGGTCCACTTTATCCGACTCTGTCTCCGCTCGTCCACGACTGTCACACATCTCAACGTCGTCGGAGATTGTTCCTCTCTCTCTCTCTCTCTCTCTGTCGGCCTCGTCTGCCTTCGCGACGCGGTTCCGTGAACGATGTCGGCAGACCGCCAACGAGACAAAAAACAACGAAAAAAAAAAACTGAAGGATTATTCGGAATGTTAAGATGCTCGTTGAGTACTGGCGAGAAACTGATACGGTCATGTTTCTCGTCGCGAGAAAAATTGCGATATTTCTTGATGACTTGATGCGACGCACCATGCGACGCAATTTTTGAATTTTTCCGAGACCGAAATAGAAACGAGAAAAACAATTTGAAAAGACAATTTGGACAAGTTCAATTAGGATCTTATACTCTCAGACTTAAGCCTAAATCTAAACTTGGACTTTCCTTGTGCTCGGTCTGAGTAATAATAAAAATCGTTGAAAGTTCTAGATCCATCCAGCTACTAGATGTTTTGTGCTTATTCTGGATCAGCTTACAATTAGTGAGAAAGAGAGAGAAACGAAAGCGCGCGAAACGGGTTGATACTCTCGATAGTTGAGTCTAGACTCAGCACTGGATTCATTCGTCTCTCCCTCTCCCCCCCTCCCTCTCTCTCTCTTCCTTTTCCCTCCTGAATGCGCTATGTCATTCTCTCGCCGTTGTTTCGCTCGCTCTCTCGTCACGCTCGTCGCCGGCGGCTTCTCGTAAATCATCTCTTCCGCGAAGCGAGCGCAGAAAAAGAAAGAACTGATATCCCGGTTAGAATAGAGGAGCGTGCATCTAGGCGATACGTTGACCTACTGTCATTAAACGGCGAACGGATGAAAGCTACGTTAAATTACTATTATTTATCTCAACATAAAGAATCCGAATCACGTCTCTATATGTCTAGTTATCGAAAATAATAGCAACGCGTTCTTTAGATTACGCGAACGAATCTGACTGAGGATAATTCCTGCGTTTTAATCCAAGAATTGCGGGTCACGTTGTTGATGGACGTTATTAAAGAGAGACGGTTTTCTTGCCTCTCTTTTTCAGGCTAACAAACCACTAATGGAAAAACGACGACGAGCAAGGATCAACCAGTCCTTGGCGGCGCTGAAGGCGTTGATCCTCGACAGCGCCCGCCTGGAGAACACGAAGCACAGCAAGCTCGAGAAAGCCGATATCCTGGAGCTTACGGTCAGGCACCTGCAGCGGCAAAGATCGCTCGCTCAACCCGGCCTGTCCAGGTACAAAGCGGGATACCAGGACTGCTCCAGAGAGGTAAAGACAAGTTTTAAAGAAGAGCTTAATGTAGGATTTTTAGCGATTGCAAAATATATTTAGACGAGACACGCGGCGACACGTATCGTCGCTGAAATTCTAGTTTTGCAATGTAAAAGAGAAAAGTCGTTTGAAAAACGTATATCTTGTTCGAAAAATCCTGATCGACATCGCATCTCGGAGAACAAAACGAGGAAGCCAGTCGGTAAGGCGACTTTGACGCGGAAAAACGTGGTTTTTGCGTCACGTTTGCCATTATACTCCGTGCCATTTCGTCACGGGGTAGCACGAGGGCGTGGAAGAGGGGGGGGAAGCGGAGGGAGGGGGTGGTAAAAAAATTCCAGCGCGTCCGGAGAGCGTGTAATCGGAGAACACGGCGGAACTGGTTCGTGTTACACGACAGAAGGGGGATTCTACCCGGTGGAAGAAGAACACACTCGAAACTACCCTGCCTCCTGTCTTTCCCCCTTTTTCTTCCTCTCCCCTCCCCCTCCTCCTCTCGGATAGGTATCTTAACGTATCGGGTTGTCGTTGGGGAGTCTCGCGTGGCGTCTTCGCTAGGCTCAATCGCTCCTTCGTTAAGGAAACGTCCAGCCGCGAAGCGAGAGAAAACTCGTTGAAAGCGGACACCCCGTAAACGCCATCGCGCTGAATTTGCCGGATGAACCTTGCGGTCAGATCTCTCTCGAGTCAGGTAGTCGCCCGATCGGCGGGAAAGGAGAAGAAAAGGACTCTCAGAGTTTTTGGTTTCTGCACGCGAGGACTCGACGCGGAGCGATCGGGATTTGCGATAAAAATGCAATCTCAATCTCTACACGTAGTGAATCGTTATATTGACGTATGTAACCCGACTTGATACGATATATGACACGTACGTATATATCTTTTATTAATAATTCAGGAATTGTTTTTCTGCAAACAAAATTCGTGCCGCATAAAAAAACTGTAATAATTTTATCAAATTCAAATGTTTTGCCGTTAATACGGCTTCGTCTTCGTTTTTTTACATTTTGGAACGAGTGCATATTTTATTAATTACATTGCAACAGAGTTCGTTTTAGGAATATCTATCTGCTGTTATTAATAATTCCAGAATCATTCTCGGTAAAAAAAAAATTCGTTGTCGCAACTGAAAACTATAACAATTTCATCAAATTCGGACATTTTATCGTCAATAAGTCTGTATCCTTACGTTTTTCACACTTGGGCATCTTCGCGAGTATATATTTCATCATAATCATAAACGACACTGCACTGGGCGTATCAAACATCCCTGGAAATTAAAAAGAAATTAAAATAAAGTTAAATGAAATTATGCTTTACAAAGCCTAATATTTTCCTCGAATTTAAAATCAAAAACAACGAGATATTTTAAGCTGTAAAATATCCAAAGAGGCAATTCCTTAACACACAAAAAAAAATCACCCCACCCTTCCTCCCCCGAAAAAATCCTGGATACGCTCATTGGCATTAAGGATTTAGGAGTGTTTAGCGCGTTCCTGAAAAAGAAGGACCCGCTATACTACTCACGGACGGCGGAGTCTTTTTTTCCGAGCACTTTGTTCCCATCCGGGCGGCGCCAGGCATTTCCGTCGTATATCTCCATCGGTGCCGGCAGCGCACACAGTGTGTCGCAGAACTCGAGTCGATTGTCGGCTCGCCCGGCTCGACAAAGCGCACTTGTAACGGTACAAAGCCCGGCCGTGCGCGCCGATACCTGTCGCGCCTGTCCGCCTTATCGGAACGCGCTCGCCGATAAAGTCACCGACTTCCCGGCGCTACGATACCGTCGCTCGAAAGATGCGGCCCACACGGGAGATGACTGTGTGCGCCCCTGCCGTTTCGCACAAAGGAACTGGAAGAAACCAAGTAGTGGGGGGGGGGAGGGGGGGAGAAAGGGGAGGAATCGCGCGCGTGCGAGACGCGCGCTCGGCGAGCGTTCGCGATCCTCGCGACGGAAAATAATCACCGTAATAAAGCCGTTACGTAATTGTTGCGAGAGCACTTTTCAAATTTTATCGCGACCGATTTAACGGATCGTATTCGCTTCATCGCGCGCACGCGCGTAATTGTCTCGCCGTCCAAATGTCGGGCGCGCGCGCACTTTTGTATATACGAGCGCTAATTGAAAAGTTGTAAGATTATATTGCGCAGCTGCGCGACTGCACTGGCGACGGCGCCATCAAGGCCAAGGTCTTCTGCGTGCACTCACTCACACACACACACACACACACACGCACACCGATACGGGGATCAGCATCAGTGTGTTAAGCGTTTCTCACGCTCTGTAATTTGATATATGTTCTATGACACGGCGCGGAGAACCTTCCCTTTTAATTGCGCGACAAAAGTATGCTGTCGGAATTCCGCTTCAAACATGGGAAAAGTGATTAAGAGACTTTGGGAAATGTTGGATCAATCGTACGGTGGATAGGCGGCAACTCCGAGACAACGCGCAACGCGAATTCTGTGACATCCTCTTTAAGGAAGCGACCGTAATACTTTCCATTCTTGCAACGTTAGAATTAATCGGAGCAACGACATCGGATCGTCTCTCTTCCAGTTCTCTTTAATCGCTTTTATCACTCTTGACCATTTTCTAATCTCAAAAAATTCACGTGGAAGGAAATTTTCGCTCCGATAAGGAGGAAGTAATTGCGGTCGTTTTCTTTAAAGAGGATATCACAAAATTCACTATTATACGTTGTTCGTTCGTGGAAATCGTCGTAGAAAGTGCATGTACAAAAAATTATTGATAAGGAAAAATAAATTCTCTTCTAGACGGACAGTGCCATGGTATCCAAGTTTATAATGATGGATATAATCTCGAAATTTTTCGTACATTAATAAAGAAATTGTATGTTTTAATACGAAATTCTTGAAACTCAGAAATTAATGAATAAAAAAATAAATATTTGTTATGCTTTCTTTATTTATCACACTTTTAACAATCAGTGATTAAATTTATTGAGAATTTCTTGATTTTGAAATTTGGTTCTTAAAATGTAAAATCTTTCAACTTCAAAAAACGTTTTCGAATAGATTCGGGAAAGAATCAAATTTCGTAAAGCTCTTTTTCAGGGGGGGGGGGGGGGGGAGTAATCATGCCTGAAATTTCGGATGGTGAGTTAAACGCCGGGACGAAATCACGGTGTGTGTGACGTGCAAAGTTAGATAGAAGGAAAGCGAAAAAAGAAAGAAAGAAAAAGAAGAAAAGAGGAGAAAAAAAACGGAGTGAGGGTCTCTGCGACAAACTTTACGATCTTATAAAACCGGCGGTCGACCAAGGCGACATGTCCTGTTGCGTTGCCCCTCCCGTCTCCCTTCTCTTCCCCCCCTCGGGATCTCGTTCTCATCCGCCGAAAGTATTGCACGTTTCTGCTCGCCTGGTGCGAAACGCGCTCTCCGTTGTTTCGTTCCTTCCTCTCGCTGCGAGAGGAATAAAACGCGGGAAACACAGGAGCAGCAAATCTCGTAACATTCACGTTTCTCGGAAGCTCTGAGAAATCGTTAGCGTATGAAAATTAACGGTTCTAGGAAATCCTTAACGCAAGTGCAATTGTATAGTAAACTGTAAATCGATTTCTTTGAAACGAATCGTTACTTTAACGGATTTTATTTTAACTAAACGAGAGGGGGGGGAGGGAGGGAGGAAGGGAGAGCACATGGTACATAACATCGCAGCGGCTTGTCATCGAATTTTCTTTGAGACAAATTCAACTACGACTTTGTCAAGACATCCGAGGATCACACACGTATTCCTGAGATGGGAGAAACAACGTGCTGTATATACTTTGAGAGATAGAGAGAGAAACCAGATCAAAAACTACCCACGCATATAGATCTTTTCTCTTTTACATGAAATACAGATAAATACAGATAAATCCTAGCAGGAAACATTTTCTAAAATATGTACACATAATAAAAGAGTCGATCGCGTTATTGATCGCTCATTCTCTTTCTCCTTCTGATATTTAAATTAACTTGTGATTTTTTTTAGAAACATTCATATATGCGTGACGAGATCGAAAAATGTAAATTCTATATTTCTCGTAATTGCGCTTTGACGTTCGCGATTAATCTATGTATGCAGAGAGATCCATTCAATACGCACGATCCTTCGATCGAAGTCGCTTGTCGATCTCTTTCCAACCTGCGGTAGCGACGGCGGCGGCGGATTCGGTTGCTTTATTTTGAAGCAGCGACCCATAAAAGCTCCCTCGTGCGCTCGCGTTTCGCCGGGGAACTATTGTCCGCCGGCAGGCAGCGCGGACGATAGTTTCGCCGGCGAGCAAACGCGCGCTCGATACGCCGCCGTGTGAAATATAGCGCGCGATACGCTATGCGATTAGAGATCAATCGCGCCGCTTCCGCCCGAATCACCGCCGTTTCCACTCGCAATTCGGCTCTCTTCCGGTCTACCGCGAGCGTGGTGGTCGCGCGCTACCGAGTTTTTCAGCGCGACTCGCTCTCTCGTCGTCCATCGAGTGAGAGTGTACGACGTAATTCGCGGATATGATTTTTCAAGTTTTTACGGCACCCAGAGCTGGCGCTGATCTCCGAATAAAAATGCAACAATATTTTCGCGCGGAAAGATTTATCCCAAGGTCGCGTCGGTGATGCGCTCCATACACGTGTTATCTTAAATTTTTGCGCCGAATTTTGCGTATCTAACGCGCAATTCGAGCTTTCTCTTTAATTATCTGAAAATATCGTATGTACCGCCGCCCGAGAGGTACATTATTATAAAATCCCATCCGATTACCTTTCGCGCGCGCGTTAATCAACGAGCCGCTCTAAGCGCGCGTTAATCAACGAGCCGCTCTAAGCGCGCGTTAATTAGTGATTCGCGGCAATAACACCGGTCGCGGAAAGTTCGCAGTTGCGTCGTCGCAGCTCCGCTCTCGACCAGCGGGTTAAAGAGCGTTTTATCGCGCGCCGGTTGTTATCGCCCCGGCACGTATACGAAATAAATTACGGGCCGCGTGGGGGCCCGTCCGGGCCGCGCGGCCAGGAGGGGTATGCCGGGGCAACAAATAATCACGCGGCGCCGTTACTCGACCGTACTGCGGATTAAAGAGCGAAATATTCAATTACGCCTGGCGGTCGATAATGACTGACGCGCGATACCGCACTCGCGGTCGAGAGCAGAATTTCCAGGGCGCAATATATTTTCCCGGCGTTGACTCGCGCGCGCGAATGTTTGTTTATCGCTGGCGCCACGCTTGCAAAAACCGTTCCTATGAAATTGTTTGCGGGAATATGGATTGACTCTTGCCGACAAAGCGAGAAGCTGCCCGACATCGAAATATCTCTCGCATCGATATTCAAGGATCGCGCGGTTGCGCGATGATATATCCCGAAGTCCGAAGTTTTCCTCGATGAGGAAGTGATCTCATCGTTTACGATCGTCGTAAAGTCAACACGCGTTTACAATCGGCCGTTTCCCATTGTCGTGTTGCAGGTGAGTCGCTATCTCGATGCGCCGGACATCATTACGGGCAACACAACGCCGATGGACCCAGCGGTGAAGCAGCGGCTGCTTCGTCACCTCGACAGCTGCGTGTCCGAACTCGACCTGGACTTGGGCTCGCGGCCGGACAGCGGCCTGGGCAGCAGCCCGGGCAGCGTGACGGACCGCGTGCGGGGGCGACCAGCCCGGGCCCGCTGGACCACCACGTGCCGGTCGGGCCGCACTGCAGCGCCGCGCTCACGCCGGCCGGCCTGATCAAGTCCGAGATCCCGGAGATGGTGGAGGCGGCACGTCCCGACAGCAGCACCACCGCTGGCGACGAGAACAACAACAGCAGCCGGCCAACGTCGGCCTTCAGCCAGGTGAACCCAGCGGCGTTGGATCCGCACCATCCGCATCACCCGTCGGGCATACCGGTCGACCAGGCCTCCACGTCGCAGCAGAATCCCAACATGCTCTCCGTGGTGCAAGTGATACCCTCCCGACTGCCGGATGGCCAGGTGGTCTTTCTGCTGCCGAGCCACTACGTGCAACTAGCGGCGGCCGCCGCGGCGAACGGCATCAGCATCGGGCCCAATCCGCCAACGGCGATCTGGGCGGCGACCAACATGTCGTTGCTCAAGGCCACCGATAAGCTGGCGAAGCGGCCACACGAGGACATCGGTCAGGAGTGGCAAGATCCCACCGGCGGTCTCAAGCCCAGCAAGAGCCCGAGGATGGAGCAGCCGGAGCAACCGCTCGACTTCACCACCACGTCCAAGAAGATGAAGACCGCCGGCGCGAGAAATTCAACGCATTCCGGCGCCGATCATCATCATCATCTGCGGCAGCAACAGCAACAACAGCAACAGCAGCAAACCTCAGTCCGTTTGCCAACCGAGACCGGCGGTCCCATCGTTCACGAGGACAGGCCGTCTAGTCACGCGGACAACGAAGTCGCCATCGGCATGCCGTCTCCGTCACCCATCGGCCAGCAACCCGTAAAAGACGAGGAGGGCATGTGGAGACCATGGTAAAAAAGATCCGAGGCTCTTTATCTTTGTAAATAGATATGTATGGAGCGCGCGTACGAAACCGGAAGTTTGGCGTGCGCGGCTGCAATCGTCGTCCGCTGCGAAAATCTTCCTTACACAGATTACTATGATTAAGTCGCGTATACTTGGCACCGAGTAATCGATCTTGCCTGGTTAACAAAACTGACGATTTTTATATATATATATATATATATATATATATATATTATTTTTTTTTTTGTAGACGAGTACGTTGTACGTAAAATTTTT